GTGTGCATACAGAGGCGTATATAATTATTTCTGAAAAATGATATTTCGGAAAATAACTTTGACACACATGGTTGAATTTGTCTCAAAATAAACTTTAATTTGGTAAAAAAAAATTCGAAAAATTAAAAAAAAGTTGGGTGGTAAAGGTAAACAAAAAAAAACAATAAAAAAATTATTTTAAACTATAATTATAAAGTACTCTTAAAGCCATTCAACTTTTATTCAGAACATTTTTTTCTTTCTTTCGTTTTGATGATATTCGCATTAAAAAAAAAATCGATTTTTTTCTAAGGGATGTTTCACTCCTTAACGTGCGACTCAGCACGAATGCAAAAATTGTAGTATCTTATTTTTGTTTGTAGTTTAACATATCCAAAGCTTATTGAAATCGGAGGGGGACACTTCCGTGTGTTCCCTTGTGAGTTTAAATGATCAATTTTCAAAATATTTCTGACTCTCTCTTCGCGGGATGGTTTGACCTCATCATTAATTTGCGTTATAATATAATGATATTTTCCGTTTCGACGGTTTCTTTTGTTATTTCTGTTAATTCTTCCATTATTACATGTACGTGGTACTTGTATTTCTGTTGCGTTCTCCGTGGTGTTTAGAATGCTCACGGGACAAGAAAATTCGTGAGGCTCTACTAGGTAATTCCCGATTAATATTCCGGGCGTTGTTTCTTCCGCTCGTGTCACGCCGATTATATTTCGGTCGGCCGTGCCTGCACAATAGTTTCGCTTCGCGGCTTTAACATCATTCGCTTATATGGGCGAAGTTTAAATTTTGTATCACCGATTCGAATCTGTTGATTTCGATTGTCGCATATAATAATATGTTTTTTTAATAAAGTCGGCCCCTAGTATACCATATTCCATGGCTTCGTTATCTTTTACTATGTAAAACGGATGTTTTACTGTGCCGTCTCGTAATGGAATCATCGCGTAAGCTCTTCCTATTGTTGTAATAGTATGACCCGTTATTCCTGTGAGTTTAATTTTTTCATCATATATCAAGACAATGTCCTTAAGCGTTTTTAATTTTAGGAGAGAAATTGATGTTGCGCTTGTGTCATAAAGGAAATTTATTTTTTCGCGTTCGGTTTCGCGCACAGGTAACGTCACTAAATTAAAATTACAAATGAATTTTAAAACACAACTTAAGTAGCTTCGTTAGCTAGGTTAGATTTACAAACATACATACGCATACATTCACGCATCGGTAGAAATGGCGGAATCCGCTAAAAAATAAACTTGCGGAATAAAAAACGGCGGAATCGGCGGTGTGAACTACTACCAATCATAAACGTTCCGCAGTTCCGCATCCCATATATGTGACTTCACCCTGATTACGGCTTGAATTAAAGCCGATCAGTTGAAAGACGCGATTGTCGCGGTTGTGTGAGAAAGGTGGCTCAAGAGGTGGAAGCCCGAGAGCGGAGACGTCTGCGCATGACAGCAAAAAGAGAGGGGATGATGCGTGGGTATATTTAGAGAAACACGCTTCGAAAACTTCAATGTATCCCGAGAACCTCGCGAGGCCGACGACTCCGGCTATTGACTGGAGTCGTCGGCCTCGCGTGGTTTTCGGGATACATTGGATAATCTGTGGTCGATCAACAGATACGACACGAGTTAGTCTGTACGACACGATTCGAACCACGAAACACGTATCATATAATATCAGGACTCAGGGTAAATTCGTTTACCCCTAGGTGTTGTCCTACCGCGACTCAGGGTACTCGTACCCCCAGGCGTTGTCGCGACACACGAAATATATATTAACAGTGAACAATCAGTGCGACTCAGGGCACAAGTTCGCCCCTAAACGTTGTCGCAATAGTTTACAGTCAATGTATAAATCATAAATAAACAATTTCAAGCGAAACTACGCGTGTGATATATCTTAACACATCCCACCGATACACATAACAATACCCGTGTCTGCTCCAAATTTACGACGTAGTTAAGTATTTGTACGGAAACACGCCTTTATGCATTAGTAAATTTTTAAAATTTTCTATAGACTAAATTATAATTCTATAGACTAAATTACAATTATAATATTCGCGTTGCAGTATTCATAGTTTATTTTTTCTGAGAAATTAAGATACTAATTTGTCAAAATTTAGTATTGAGAAATTTGAAGGAATCGATAAATCACAATTTTACGCTAGTTTCCTTATTATTTTTGTCTTCCGTACTTTTAACATGTTTTATAAAAAAAATGTATTTTTTTTTGTAATCGGAAATAGATCTACGCGTCCACACATCGTATGCTGTAGCTATTTCTTTGACAAATGTGAGTCATAACTGGATAAATTGTAAAAAACTACGGGAATGCAATACGAATCTTTGTAACTTAAATTACAATTGAATGCGTGGGACATCTGAATCGCCCGGTCAAGAAGCAGCGATCGCGAGTCATCAGACGCGAATGGTTTATCGCACGTACGTAGTCCTGTTAAATTTTTCTCAATCGTCCCGCGTGAAATCTGTCACGAGGATATTAACGGACAAAATAGATATACACTATGCGCTTAATCTATAAGTTCTTCGACGAACCACGCGACGCAATTCTTATCGCGATGAAATCGATATACATAATACGCGAATAACGTCATTCATTGTACGAGCAGTATAATATAACACACATATTACTTGCCTTATGAATGATGCTAGAAGTAGCTAAACTTAATATCGGATCCTCCTCCCTCGTCTTCTCCAAGGTACATTTCAGGTCGGCGTACACGGCAAACGGCATTCGTTCCTTTCGGTTGCAATTTTTGAAATTCAGCCACTTGTCGTCGTCGCTCGGTAATTTGACGGCACAGTCGTTTATTTCTCTGTAATTCAACGCGAGCTTTCAATTTCTCGCTTGAGCCACAGTAGTGCAAACGTCTGCAAAAAATATTGTATAATTTATTATTCTTCAAGAAAGAGCGATGAAATATTCTTTATAATTTTTATTTATTTAATGGATACACACCTGTCGCAAAAGAATTTAATATTCTTTTTCTTGCTCACTTGTGAGCTCACGAGGCGGGACAGATTCTTGATTCATGTGAAATATTCATTGTTGCTATTTTTAAGGTACAGCAGGTTGACGGGCTTTTCCATTTTTTGATCTGTGAGTCGTATTGAGAGGATTGAGAGTCCTTTCTTCTTCTTCTCGATGCTATACACATTGATGGAAATCACTGCGGCATTGAGATTCTCGATTTTTTAAATTTGATTTAGCGTATCGAGAACTTGATATTTTTAAGATTTAACACTGCTGAATAATGAGGATAGAAGAATTCTCATTCTGCGTGATTTTCTGCGGGATGCAGAGCGGTCACCACTTCTTCTTCTTCTTTAGTTAGGCACTTGCTTCTAACCGAAGACAATACGGCCACTTTTACGTTACACGTGTATTATTTCAAAATTAGTTGATGAGGAATGCACAAATACGCAACCGCGAGTTTCGTCAGATGTGCCAAATTTAGACAAGGCGGCTATCACTGGCCACAAGGAACACGTATTGTCCATAGATTTTACGTTGACTATGAGTGCATTCGATTAGCAGCAGTTAGTGCATTGCTTTTTTACCTGCAGTCATGTGGCCTAAATTTACTGAATGGATACCTGCGCGAATATCTGCTCGGATCGTATCTTCCAATAGAAAATTTGGACAAAACTTTAACTGAATCAATCAAGAACTCTTTGCAATAGATAATTAAGAAGATTTTAAACATAGATTTATATTCAAATAAAATGTAATATTATTAATTAAAATGTAATAAATGTAAATTTTTAGATTGAATAAAATATTATATTTTTATTGAGATATTAAATTTTATTGATATAAGAACCAATATTTTAAAAATATTTAATCTATGAGTTTTATTTAAAAATTAGATTAGATGTAAAATTCTTTGTAAATCATATCTTTAATCACATTTTATTTTAAAAATTTTAATGCATAAATGCTACTGATTGTGCTACGAAAGTTATAAATAGTAGCTTGTCAGACTCTGATTTGTGGTCAGACAGTTCTGATGAAAAATTAAAAAGAGAAGAAAAGGGAGAGAAAATTGCGGCGACGGCGCATTTCCTCTTATATCAAAATATTTAATTTATTAAAAACAAATATAAGCAATAAAATTTAATGAATAAAAGATTCAAAGCGGCGACGGATCTCTTCCCCGCGAATCCCTTGCCCCTATAACGTCATCCCCCTCCTTGGGTACCCTGCATCGCAGGATCCCACCGCTCCGCACCCACCTCGGAGCTCCCGGATTAGAAACCGCCTTATTCCAGTTATTCCTACTTCTGAATTAAAAAAATTAAAGTACAATTTTGAGTATTTTTAATAAATTTTGCTATCTTACTATCCAATCTTACTTTTGCTTACGCTATCTTACATGTGGCACATAGAATTAAAAAACAACACCTTCGTCTCGTGCGTCAGTGCTTGGTTTGTTAAAAGCGATCAGTAAGGATCACGAATGACACTGGCCAGCAGGACCATGCAAAGGGTTTTTGGAACCCTAGTACAAAAATGGGGCCTCACCTATTCATAAATTTCGTTTTAAAAAAGCTTTGAAGAATTTAGACAATATAAAACGTTTGTATAAAGTATAAATTATAAAATATAATATAAATGAAATATAAATGAATATAATTTGTAAATTGAATTGGATAGAGATTTAGATAGAAACAATAAAAAATAAATATATTTAAGTGAAATTTCGGGGTCCCTTGACATTGAGTGCCCTGGTGTAGTGCATGCTAGCTGTACACCCTCCCTTTGCACGGTTCTGCTAGCTAATGTTGAGAGTTGTCATTAAAATATTAAGATAATATTTTAATCTCATTAGGATATATCAGAAGGAGAAGAAACGATAAGCGAGCGCAGAGAGAGAAAGAAGGGATCGTGACTTACTGTTGGCCGCCAGCTAGCAGCGTAAGTTGAGCAGCGTTATAGATATACACTAACACTCACGCACTCTTTAGAGAGCGACAAAGATATCGTTCTCAGTCAAGCGGGATCCCACTTAAAATATTTCGAAGAGAGGGGATTTTACGAGCTTCACTTTGCTCATTTGCCTGGACAACAGTCCAGTTCGTCTCCTACGTGTGAATCGGTTAATCTTTGGTGAGACGTAAAATTGCGATGTCGTCCACTGCTCCACCCACGAAACAAGCGAAATTAAGTGTTAACAATAATAACAATAATAGTAACAATACTAACAATCAGTCGTTCTCCGCGCACGGCAACGTTACTTCCAACAACGTCGGACCGTTACCTTCACGTAACGATGAACAGGAATTTTTAACGAAGGAAGAACGCTTCATCAAGGAACATTACGATTATTTCAATCAAACGTTCACAAACTTGTTGATGCATCGACAAGCGATATCGGAATCAAGTGTTGCTCAGCGCAAACAGTTGGAAGAGGCGTTAAGACTGCAAGCAAGCTTGAAAAACGGTCTCGATCAAGCGAAGAACGATCTGCAACGACGAGCGAGCGAGTGCGTAAAGTTAACTCGCGAACTTCAAGAAGTGCGTCTTCAAAAAGATCAACTTAATCAGGTAGTGAAGCAAAAAGATAACGAAATATCTTCGTTACAGAAGCAACTTACGCATATAAAAGACGAAATGACAAAGTTCTATAAAAGATGTCTCGACATTAATCAAAATAATGCACCTAACAATAAGCAGGACCGACGAAGCAACTGAGAGTGTTTTGCGTCTCTTAATTCCGACATTACATCCGTTGATCCGGCAAATGTGCTGCAGAACAAGAACATTGTTTGCCTCATCAAGTCACTTATTGCTTACACCCACTATGCATCTGTGCGGCGTACCGAGTCCAGACGAACACATAGCACTATATCGAGGGATTGCATCATTTGTTCAGCCGAACAACATCCGAAATGCGCATTCCAGCCAAAATATTAGATAACGACAGCAGGGCTATAGACTGAGGAAGGGTCTTACGGCGCCGTGGGCAACCGCCTCGCTCGCCTCATCCTTACGCCGGGACTGAACGACAGGCAGAATGAAAAACGAAGAAAAATGTCAATCCACGAGGAAGATATGGATAGATAGGAAGATGGATAGATAGGAAGATATGGATCGACGTTCCATTGATATGGAAAACAAAGCTGGAAAATTATTACACAACTAATTTTATTTGGTTTTTTTTTATGAACTATTAATACAAATAGCTATCTCTTTATTATTATTAATAGTTCGACGAAATGGAAAATGATTCTTCAGTTGATAAAGCTTGCGGTTTTGACAATGAGTACTTTCGAACACCTTCTTCGATATGGCAGTCTGCCCCCGTTAATTCTGCCATCGTGAGAATGTGAAATCGACATAGTTTTCATCAAGTTTAACATGAAGACATTCAACATGTTTTGTATGAAGACTATTTGCGACTTGCGATTGGTGATAGCTGATGATGTGATTATCGGTAATGTCGATGTAACCATGTGTGCGCTAACGCTGTTACTATAATTGATGGCAGAATAATCTATTAAGGGATCTAATCACCCTGATTGAGTCTATAATAAGCATAAATTAAAATTTTTTTAAAATTAACTGCTGTGTAGTATTAATTTATATTTTAGGAGCATAATACACAACATTAAAACTATAAATCTGAAAATTTTCGAAAAGATTGAGCTAAAAATGTAGGCTGCAGAACAATTCTTGCAAAGCTTCTTTGTCGCGTCAGGATCGGACGGGTGTAACATTTCCGGAGAGGAGAGTGGTGTGAAATAAAAAAACAAAATATTTTCCTGTAAACAAATGTTATAGTTATCGTGTTGCGTAGTGATTTTTTTTTAAATTGTAGAAAGATCTTGAAAAAAAAATTTTTTTACCTTAAAATTCAAACTTAAAAAATTTATTATAAATTAATGGATTAACATATCAAAAAAATCTTATGCAACACGATAAATAATTTTCTTAAGAATATGCTTGTAAAAAATAAAGTAAATCGAACTATTAATTTCTGAGAAAAGTTTACACCCGTTTTGAAAAATATAGTTTTAGAAAAAACGCAAAAGAAAATTCGAAACGGTTTTTCTATATTACAGAATATTACAGAATGGTTTTACTTCTAGGCTTAAAAGTATTTGTAAAAGTTCAAACTTTCAAAAAATGTAATTAAAAAAATCAATTATTTCAGGGTGGTTAGATTCCTTAATTTTATAAAGTTTATAGATGAAATGATAGAGTAAAAGCGTTGGAAGCGTTAAATGTGTATTTACGAATTATCTCAATGATGATTCTGAAAAATATTTAATGAGTGATTCCTTTGTCTTATTTCATTGCGGGCAAGTTCGTCTTGTGTGCGTTATTGAGAGAAAACGCGTTGTAATAGTTCCTTTAATAAAATTATATTTTTTCTTATAAGTGACTAGGAATAATTGAACAAAATCTAATAGTTATTCTCAACGATTTAATCTCGAACGATCAAGAAATCTTTGCGCTGAGTCAAATGCCTAATATGCAAAGTTCGCATTTTGTCGATGTCCTCGTCAACAATTGTATAGATTCTCGTACAATCTCGTGTGCAAAATACTAATAGCGCGCGGATTAGATCCAAGTTGATCGCATCCGATCTACATACGTAATGACAACTAACCATTCTGTAAAACAAGCGATTATTCGTGCAGCAATCAAACGACCATCGATCTTATAAATCTTGTTTTATTGATAGACTCTTCGGATCAAACGTGACGTTGTGCGCGATTGTTCAATGCAAAATTACTGGATTGTTAGAATAATTAGTGTCAAACGTTGCTAATTCATCGCAAACGACGTTCTTAAAGTGTTTCTTTTTATTTCAACGTTCAATACGTAGCCCGATGATTTTCTTAATCATTTCTCGCTCACGGTTTTGAATACGCCGCGCTTGACGATGAGCGCTTTATCATTTTACAATTTTATGAAAACGATGACGCGCTGTATTTTATTCACCAAATGATTGTATAGGCGTCTCGAAAGCTTCGTCAAACGATTAAAAAAAAATGTAATTGAAGAATTTCATTATATCAGCGATTATAAAGGAGAGAAAGAATCGTATAAGATTGAAACATATTTTTGGTTCGACTGTGGCAAAAATAACAAGTACTCTCTCTGAGAATACTCAATCGTTGCTCGTAAAATTTTGTAAAAATCGTATAAAATTGTTACTATCAATGAACAGAACTCGTCGCAACTGATTGAATATTCTGATCAAATTTGTGCTGAAAATGAATGATGTAGTTATAATATATATATGTTAGACGAGAGCCTTCAATATTTTTAAAATTTATACAAGCGATAAGGATATGAAGGATATGATTTTTTGCATACAAATATGTATTTGTATGCAAAAAATCAATTTGGATACTTGTATATTGCGATGCGATGAACACCACTGATAAATTGACGGATTACAATTACACTAATGTTTTTTTGTAGCTTTTAAAGACAGCCAATTCACCGGGACAAAATTCATCCAAATGTCGAATAATGAAATTTTATTTTTACCATCGATATATTCAGGTACAGCTTACGTTTCTCCGGTTTAATACCTATCCACAAAATCTTTCTACGATACCATTACTGTGTAATAAACAAATACGAGTCACGTTTTTCTACGAATATATAATGTGTGAATAAAAACACTCACCCATATTCGATGTATATTTTTGTCTCGTCTCATCACCTCTTTCTCGACATATCCTCTTTTTATTTCAACTTCAGCATATATTATGTATTAAAAAAACACAAGTCGATTATTCTTATGAAAAAAACGAAAAAACCGCAGGAAAAAAAAATCAATTGTGGATTTGGATATGCCTTCATATCGGTAAGCGCATGGACACAAGGCGCGCTTGAGCGATTTGACGTATCTAATAATGTGAAAAATTAGAGTCTTATTGTTTGTTTTGATTTGCAATCTATTACGCGATAACAGTTTACTTCCGGTAAATTTTTGTTGAAAAATTATATCTAAATTGGAATTTACGAATACATTCATTAGAATTTCGGAATGTTGTCTGCGTGTTGTTTCAAGTTTATGCAAATTCGATTACCATAAATCTTAATCTTACGATACTGTTCTCGTAATGAAAAATATATTTTTTATACGACACAAGCTTGTCATTGCAATAATAGCCATTTGTACATACAACTTCACGATGCTTACACTTTCAATCGTCACTTTCCAATTTATTATTTACAGAAAGTTCTATGAGATACCGTTTGCTGTTTCTCATAAACGTAAATATGAAATTAATAATTCTAAGGATTCCCAGTAAAATTCAAAAATTTAAAAAAATACGCTAATGAGAATGCGTGTACGGTAATTGTTGCGCAATGATAAATTCAGTGAATAACACACGTTTATTCCGCGTATATAGATTTATTGTCAAACGTTTCGGCCATCCATCTGGCCATCCTCAGTGATGTAACAATGGTACAGATCAAATTGTCATTATGTTAAATAAT